CCACAATCACCTCCACAGCTCCACAACCAACGTATCACCACACTCACCAACACAGCCCCACAACCAACGTATCACCACACTCACCTACACAGCTCCACAACCAACGTATCACCACACTCACCAACACAGCTCCACAACCAACGTATCACCACACTCACCAACACAACTCCACAACCAACGTATCACCACACTCACCAACACAGCTCCACAACCAACGTATCGCCACACTCACCAACACAGCTCCACAACCAACGTATCACCACACTCACCAACACAGACCCACAACCAACGTATCACCACACTCACCAACACAGACCCACAACCAACGTATCACCACACTCACCAACAGCTCCACAACCAACGTATCGCCACACTCACCTACACAGCTCCACATCCAACGTATCGCCACACTCACCAACACAGCTCCACAACCAACGTATCACCACACTCACCAACACAGCTCCACAACCAACGTATCGCCACACTCACCTACACAGCTCCACAACCAACGTATCGCCACACTCACCTACACAGCTCCACAACCAACGTATCGCCACACTCACCAACACAGCTCCACAACCAACGTATCGCCACACTCACCAACACAGCTCCACAACCAACGTATCACCAAACTCACCAACACAGCTCCACAACCAACGTATCACCACACTCACCAACACAGCTCCACAACCAACGTATCGCCACACTCACCTATACACCCCCACAGCCATTACATAACCACAATCACCAGCACAGCTAATCGCCAGCCCAACAACCACCCTGTTATTTCACCGTAATTGCCAATACAACGCCTCCTCCATTACTTAACTATAATAAACAACTCTCCTCCCATCAATTATTATTTTTTAACCATCATCACCATCTCGACTCCACCCCCCATTATTTAACCGTGGCATGATAAACTTCAGATTTATGGTCACTTGGACCGTGGCTCGCCCAAATCAAATATTTTGGTGGGGAGTGGGAGGGGGGGGGGTGAGGGCCACTTTGTTTATGCACAGGGAACGCCACTGGATTGCTCACACATTCAGTCTTCGTGGTGTAATATGACCGTATTACCACCGCGCATATGACCGTGTTCTCCAGATTACAATACGCTCCTGATTATAAGGCGTAACCCCCAAGTCGCCGGGGTCGTTATGAAACAAATTTAAACGTAGAAGTTGGACCGTGGTATCCTGAACCGTCCATTGGGTACTCCCCACTGCACCAGCACGGACACTAGCAGCCAGAGTGGTGAAGTATGGTCAAACATCGAAGACTGACATGGCTAGTGCCTCGAGAAAGACGTGAGCGGATAACACTCACACCCGCCACTTTTCAAATCAACATATGTACATTTTGAGAACTCGGTTTTATATTCCGTTCAGTTTCCGTATATTTTAATTTGACCTTTGAAACCGTCCAGTAAGCACATGCTTATCGTAAATAAATTAATCGGTGCTGCTTGCTGCTGCTGCGTTGGCAGCGGTGTGCACACAAGCACAATCAAACACGACAACAACTCTCAACACACTCGTCAACAAACACCGCGGGGCCATATACATAAATACATAAAATTGTTTACGTGTTATGAAGAAGGGTAATTTCCCGAAACGTTGCCTGTTATAGTATCTCTTTATATAGTATGATATAGTATATATATATTACTATATAAATAAGTATATTATAAATAGTAATTGTATCCGTCTATTGCCTCTCCAGAGCAAAATGATCAAGCAGCGCGTGTTGAAACAAGTCAACTCTGGACTGGTTTCCACCTTCCGGGTCTCATCAGCAGTCAGGCTGCTGGTGACTAGAATATTATTGTGTTATTTTACTTTATCTATTTATTTTATCAATTTATTATTTTATTATCATTCTACGTGACTTTACCGAAAGAACCAAAGAAGATGAAATATACTCACGGACTATGTAAATGTTTTAAATATATATGCGGAGGACACATAACAGCGTGGTCTGTTCATATTTTGCTATCACCCATGATACTGTTACATTCTTATAATCATCACGCTCGTTTACCCAGGAACGCTTCACTGAGTCTCGTGAGTCTCTTGCAGGAGGGTCCTGCCAAGTTTTCGCAGTTAGGAGGGTGGAGGTGGGGGGGGCGATGTATCTGCCGCTGCGCGCGATCTCAATTTGAGTAATCTGCGAGTCATTTGTCAGCATTGGGATGTTTTGGCCAAAGCCACTTAACACTGTTGTTCTAGCTCAGGGACGAGACGGGAATCACCGGGGGAAACCCGCACAGAACAGGGGAGAGAGCATACGAACACGACGTCCCGAGTTGGGGATCCCACATTTTAAGGGAAATGTTAACAATGATACCGGCACACAATGGCACACTCGTGCGAATGACGTCGCCGGATCTTTGACGTCCACTGTGAAGCAGACCGCACGTTGCAGCCTTTTCACGGCAAACACACCCGCAGGGTGTTAACCAGGGCGGCCGCTGGAATTTGAACCGTGATGTGAACCATCTGCAACACGTCGCTGTCTCTGCTCCACAGCAGCGCGTTACGAGTTTGAGTATTCAACTTAGTCAGCCGTCGTTATTTATTTATATATTACTAATATATAAATTAATATCGCTACCAGGAAACGATTGGTCAACCTTGCTGGGAATCGAACCTCAACGCTTGCTCGGCGGCTAACGACTCTGGCTCAATTTCCCGGAACAAAAACCCGGGTCTCCATCTCCCCTTCCTCCAACCCCCTCCACCCCCCTCCACCTCCACCCCCCCCCCCCCCCTTCGAGAGCGAGAGAACGTTCTGTAATGGATAGGAAAGTTTCCAATTAGTGCGGTGTGACAACTTTCTGCGTGACGTGTGGTTTCAGAGACGCGGGCAATTCAGGGGAGACACAGCAAATAATGCAGAACAAAAAAAAACCCCGATGACTATGCCGATAAGACGCCTTGGGGAGTAACGCCGAGACGCAGAGCGAGAGGAGAGGAGCACGTGGGTGAGACATCGCACGGGTGTCGATGGCATCGCTCAAACTGTTTAGAAATCGAGTGGAGCCTTCAGGTCCCGCGGGCCCCTTTGGTGGCCTTTCGTGCGGCACCTGGCGTGCCCCCCCCCCCCCCCCGCCAATACACAAATGTAGAAACCCCCCTCCCCATCATCATCATCGTGCTTGCAAAGCTCAATGGTTTCAAATTTGTGTGGATGCTCCTCGCGCTCATGATGTCTTCTCGGCGAACGCGGCACCGCCTGTCAAAAATGTGCGAAGAGCCGCCGCTTGAGGTGGGCAGGGACACGCGTCTCGGCTGGAAGGGGGACGACGTTCGATGGTCGAGACAAATAACGGAGTGGCAGCCAAGGTGGGGCCCCACGGTGTATGGTGAAGCTGCTGCTGACGAGGATGACGTGAGCTCGTGTGTATAAAGTGCCTAGGTTGATTATTAGGGCGCAGGATCGCGAGATAATGAAAATAAAAAGCAACGTGGCAACGTGTCCACCGGAGTGGAACGCGTTTCAGTTCGTGCAGTAGTGCGGGACCATTCTCTGTTACGTAAAACTCATGATTTGGCGCTACTGCTGCTGCTGCGTTGGCAGTGGTGCAAAAGCACAGTTAACAAATAACAGAAAAAAAACACAATACCGCTGAACTCATTCGTCACTGCCTTAAAAGTAAGAAAGTATATACTAGGCGACGATTTGGGCAATGGGCCTTCTTCACGACACATAGAAAAGGCAGTGAGGTATCTCAACTCAACACAACTTCTCTAGGCCCTCTGTATGTCCTATGATGAAGGGCCATTGCCGTGAAACGTCACCTATCACATACCTTTTCTCATTTCAAGGCCATGCACACGGACACACACACACACGCAGCGTTATTATTGACGAATCCTTTCGCTGGTGAACGAGGCTCGAGAGGGAGAACGACGCAGGGAGGTCGTGGAGGGAGGAGGAGGCGTGCGTGGTGCGGAACGAGATGACAGCGAGGGGATTGAACGCGCGGGTTCGACTATGGCTGGTGACACAGGATCGTATTCACAGCGGCACAAGAGGCAGACGTGAGTGGGCTCGCATCGCGGCCAAGAAGGCACGGTGGCCGATTGTACGTTGGACTTCTTTCGCACCGTACGTGGCCAACCGCGCTCATCGAAGGTGCGTCTCAGGTCTCGACGGAACGAGACGTGGGTGAGTGAGCTCAATATTAGATGTGTCTGTGTGTGTCTGTGTGTGTGAGCGGTGGCGCAGTGGTTAGCGCGCTACGAACACGTCCGCCCGGGTTCGATTCCCGCTCACGGACAGCACCAGGGACGATTATTTGAACCGGTTCTGGGCCTCCGCTAGGTCGACTCAGCCTCAAATGAGTTCCTACGGCCGTCGCGTGATGTTTGATAACCCAGCCCCGTCGCGTGCCGTGCCGCTCGCCAACAGCACTTGCCTCCAAAAGTTTGTTCAGGCTTTATATATATACACGGGGGGGGGGGGGGTGGGGGGCACCTGTGTGTGCGCGCGAGGAGCGGTGGCGCAGTGGTTGGCGCTGCACTGCGCCACGAACCGGACAAGCCCGAGTGAAGATTCCCGCTCGCTGCCGCCGAACATCGCTGAACGAATATTTCGAAACCGGCCCTGAGCCGCCGCCACCTCCCTCGACTTGGTGACCGAGTTACGGAGAAGAAGTCAAAGACTGCCGGAGCGTGGTGTTGCCCACACCAGCCCGCCTGAATGTAGATGCTCGCTAACAGCACTTGTCCCAACAACAACAGTCTAAGGCTAAACAAGCGGATCTTAGTTTGTGTGTGCGTGTGTGTGTGCAGCATGTACATGTATCTGTGGACATCTTTTTTCGTGGTAGGTCACCGCACAGAGAACGTATCGCACGAGGTGGAAGCGATGGATTGTGGAATCGCAGGCACCGTGACGAGACAGTGGCAGCCCGGGGGGAGGGGAGAAGAGTACATCCAGCAGTGGATAGACCGCGGCTCGTGAATGACGATGAAGGGCAATGAGACACCCACCTGGTCATCCTCGATGACCTTGAGCGCGTCCATGTGCGCGTGCAAGGAGATGGAGCAGCGCTTCATCACGACCATCACTGGAGCTTCCCTCGCCCATCAACCATCTCCACCACCACGTCCACCAGCACCTTGCTCCTCCACCCAGTCCAGCGTCGTCTAAACCACCAGCATCGCGGGGCAGCAGCAGTCGAAGCAGCAGCAGGAGCAGCAGTAACGACGGAGCGGCAACAGTGGCTGTGTGGAGCGGAGAGGCGCAGGCCACCACCCCCACGCAATTTCTCCGCTCCGAATTAGACCGTGGATTTGTTTCCGCCTGTTGCTTCCTGCTTCCTACTGTTGCCAACTACTCCAAACTGTTGCCTGCTGCCCCGCACTGTCGCCAGCTACTCCCGACTGTTGCCTGCTGCTTCCTGCTATTGCCTGCTAATCACTGGAGCTGCTGCTGCCGCCGCTTTATAATGGTTTTCGTTGCTACCTTTAACCCAGCGGCCGCCCTGGTTAATACTGCGGGTGTAATAAATATCCGTACACAATTACTACCACGCAACGTCTGTTTCATTCCCAGTGGATGTGAAAAGAGTCGTAGGTCCATTGGGTGTGCCGGCGTTGGTGACCGCGCATTTGCCAAATTCGAAAACGACACCGCGAATTTGCTCCTAAACACCGTGGCGGAAATCACCGCACCCTACTGGCAGATCGATGTCCCAGGCCACGCTCACAACCGAGACCCGTCCCGCTGGTCTCTCTTGAGTTCTCACCCGGTCAAACTAAATCATCTTAGAAGTTTAACTTCTGATGCCCCTTGCATCAGACGGAGTCACCTCCTGCTTCTCACGCCCCCCCCCCCCTCACGCGCCGCCAACCACGTGGGGTTCAAGAAGGGGAGGGGGGTGAGGGGGAGGCGAGTGTCCGCACTCTGGAGTGTGTGCACCTCGCCTGGCACAAGTACCGTGGTGACGTCACTACCCTTTGGCGAGTGCGAAACATCGGTAACGATGATCTAAACCGGTTCTGGGCCTCGCCTAGGTCGACTCAGCCTTAAGTGAGCACCCGGTGCGGTGTGTAAACATCAGCACTGGGGAGACAAAGGCGGCCGGGCGTGGTGCTGGCCACCAATACCCCTCGTGTGCTCACGTGCCGGCCATCATCGGTGCTGCTCGCTTACGGCACTTGCCCCAAGAGTCACAATGAAGGCTATTCGGGGGATCTTTGTAATGTGTGTGTGTGTGTGTCGGAAGGGTGGGGGTGTGCCCAACTTCGCATCCGCATCACCTCCTCCCCCCCTATAACCCTCACCTCCACCCCTCACCCCAACACTGAACAACCCAACCCTAAAACAACACATACCCTTGCCGATGGCAGCACTCGCAACCTCCACCCTCCTCCACCCGTCACGTCGGAGACCCTCCGTCAGCGGTCATTTAGAACAATGGCCCCGGGGTCCCCACCGCCTGTCGCATCGTCGCGGGGCAATGCACGCACGCCCTGGAGCCCCGTTAGATCGCGGAGGCCAAGCAGGGCCACCCCACCCCCCAGCCCCACCGCGCCCGGCCTGATGCGTCGGCTTGGAATGGGTGACCGCCAGCACGGCACTTCATTTCTCACGGAATTATTTTGATGATTTTTTTTCCATTAGCTCAGGACAGCTCCGATCTAACTGCAGCCCTGGTGACCACAGTGCATATTTTAAATACAAAATAAGTAATATTAAAAAAACTTTTTTCAAAACACGCTTTAATGAAATTAATGTACCCTGCTAGTAATGGCAGAACTCCACGACTCTGGGAAGTGGCCCCGAAGCTTGCCATAACGTAAGGGACCATGGTGATTTACAGCCAACGTCAGTTGAGCGTGGACAATTAGAGCCAAGCCGAAACATAACATAAAAAAGAAAGTTTTTAAATATATGTTTTTTTTAAATAATAGATTATAGTATTGTCATCAGTATGACATAAGTATACCAAGTTTGCAGTCGATACCACATTGGGAAGGGCTCGGCCGTATGAACATTCGTTACACTGCGCACCCCGCATTTACTGCCCCGCCACTGACCGGCGTTAAGTGAAGTATGGCCAAGCAAGCATGCCACGAACTGCACAGGCGTAGGGTGACGAGGGGGATTGGGAGACTCTCGTCCAGCAGTGGATTGACATCGACATGACCCGACCTGATCCAGCGGAGCCTCACTCGAGTCTCAAGGCTCGTTTGCAGGAGGGTGCTGCGTTGGCACGTGTGCTCAATTCCCTTACGAGTACTCTAAATGTATATTTTTTGCCTTACAGCGGGGAATAAAACAAAATAAGATATAGCCTGACGTTTCAGACAAGGGCCCTTCTTCGGGGCATACAGAACGACCCGGGTTGTGGCTGGAGATTGCATTTGACACTGTGGGGGCGCCTGAGAAAACCGGGGAAGGAAAACATTTTACGAATCTTTGTTCAATACGGGCGTTGCGTCGTCACCAGATAAAGAATCCAGAAATGTCGCGGCCCTCTGACTACTGTGAGAGAAGAGCCCACGGAAGAGGATATCACAGAGCTACCTCTAAAATAGCCTTTTAAGTGACCTCTGTTCCGAAGATAACAAACGACAAACATTCGTCAGTAACACCACTGTGGCCTCTAAAAGAGAAAACATATATAGGTCGACGTTTCGGACAATGTCCCTTCTTCATTGCACAGAGAGGCCATTTGAGAGACAGTGAACGATGAGTTAAAAACTGCACTTGTTGTTTATACCATGGGGGGGGGGCTTATTAAAAAAAATCCTGATTACCAGATTAAACTTGGCTTATGAAGTTGCACTCTTAGAAGCTGATGAGTAACAAACCCTTCAATTCCAATGTTGCACAGGGGTCACTTGAACCTAGGGGAGGCCCAGGACCAATGCAACAAATTACGGCAACAAACGAGCCGATTTAATCGCTCCATCTGTTGTCATTCGGATTTTTTTTTAGACCATACTTCACCACACTGATCAGTGCGGGTACGTGACCGAATTGGCCCAGGGCCATATCGGATATCGGCACCAGCGTTCGCCATGGATGGGAAACTGAACTCTGGCGGGGGGGGGGCCGTGTCCGTAGCGCGCTGACCACCGCGCCGCCACCCCTCGTACACGCGCGGTTGTGCCGCGCGCGCACGCGATGTGCGGTTTTTATTGCGATAGGAAACGGAGCGGTTTCGTGTCGACACAATCCTCCCGCTCGCCGCCACCCCCGCGCCGCCACCCCGCGCACAGGAAACCTGCGGTGGCGTGGGGCGGGGGGAGGGTTTAAAAGTCGCAGCCCAGAAATAGAGACGTCCGATTCTCGCAGCCCCCACGCCCCCACCCCCCCCTTTGCCAATCCACTGCTGGATGAAGGCCTCTCTCCCTACGTTGGGATACGACAATCTCGTCTATGCCGGTTGATTTTATCCATACTTCACCACGCTGGTCAGTGCCGGTTTGGTAAAGATAGGGGTCGGAGACGGGGAAGTGGAGGACCCACGACCGGTTCAGATATCCGGGGTGCACTGTCAAACTTCCACCGGTAAAATATGGGAGGGGGGGGGGAATAACATCAACAGGCTTTCACCAAATCACACGGACCAGCGTGGGGAAGTATGGTCAAACAACCCTCATGACCGATATTCTGTGGGAAGGCCTTCGACCAATGAAATTTACGAACAATTCAATCCGACAGGTGATGTTGCCTTCATGCGTCACACATGCTTGGAAATATTTAAAATGAATATAACCTTAATATACTCTCTGGGACGTTTACCCCGATTCCAATAACGCAAGTATGGCGTCAACGACAGAGATCCCGGAGAAAACCCACCGCGCGTAGGGACGGGGAGACACTTAATTGCCTCCGCTATTCAAGTATCCATCGCTCTACAGCACTCAATCGCCCCACTGTTAGCCGTGGTCAGGAATCGAACTCAGGTTTGTGGGTTAACAGTGTAGTTCAGAACAGTGGTCAGCAGCGCACTACACTGCACTACACAGCACTACACAGTACTACACTGCACTACACAGCACTACACTGCACTACACAGCACTACACTGCACTACACAGCACTGCACAGCACTACACTGCACTATACTGCGCCAGCGGAGGGCAGTGCGCTAAACGCAGTACCACCGCTCCCACTCATGATACCCTCATTACTGAACTTCTCAATCGATAGTCCCACTCATGATAACCTCATTACTGAACTTCTCAATCGATAGTCCCACTCATGATACCCTCATTACTGAATTTCTTAATCGATAGCCCCACTCATGATAACCTCATTACTGAATTTCTCAATCGATAGTCCCACTCATGATAACCTCATTACTGAATTTCTCAATCGATAGTCCCACTCATGATACCCTCATTACTGAATTTCTCAATCGATAGTCCCACTCATGATAACCTCATTACTGAACTTCTCAATCGATAGTCCCACTCATGATAACCTCATTACTGAACTTCTCAATCGATAGTCCCACTCATGACACCCTCATTACTGAACTTCTCAATCAATAGTCCCACTCATGATAACCTCATTACTGAATTTCTCAATCGAGAGTCCCACTCATAACCTCATTACTGAACTTCTCAATCGATAGTCCCACTCATGATAACCTCATTACTGAACTTCTCAATCGATAGTCCCACTCATGATACCCTCATTACTGAATTTCTCAATCGATAGTCCCACTCATGATAACCTCATTACTGAATTTCTCAATCGATAGTCCCACTCATGATAACCTCATTACTGAACTTCTCAATCGATAGTCCCACTCATGATAACCTCATTACTGAACTTCTCAATCGATAGTCCCACTCATGATACCCTCATTACTGAACTTCTCAATCGATAGTCCCACTCATGATAACCTCATTACTGAATTTCTCAATCGAGAGTCCCACTCATGATAACCTCATTACTGAACTTCTCAATCGATAGTCCCACTCATGATACCCTCATTACTGAACTTCTCAATCGATAGTCCCACTCATGATAACCTCATTACTGAACTTCTCAATCGATAGTCCCACTCATGATAACCTCATTACTGAACTTCTCAATCGATAGTCCCACTCATGATAACCTCATTACTGAACTTCTCAATCGATAGTCCCACTCATGATAACCTCATTACTGAACTTCTCAATCGATAGTCCCACTCATGATAACCTCATTACTGAACTTCTCAATCGATAGTCCCACTCATGATACCCTCATTACTGAACTTCTCAATCGATAGTCCCACTCATGATACCCTCATTACTGAACTTCTCAATCGATAGTCCCACTCATGATATCCTCATTACTGAACTTCTCAATCGATAGTCCCACTCATGATACCCTCATTACTGAACTTCTCAATCGATAGTCCCACTCATGATACCCTCATTACTGAATTTCTCAATCGATAGTCCCACTCATGATAACCTCATTACTGAACTTCTCAATCGATAGTTTACGGAACGCTGCAAAACTGCCATTAAAATAGGGAGCATCAACATAAGAGACTACCACTAGAGTACACGATATGCATATCCATAATAATGCTATATTATTGTACCCTATACTTACACTAATTCTAGGAAACGATTCAGAGCAGAATATGGAACAATGAGGAAACAAACCAAGGCGAGAGATGATGTGGCGTGGAAAAATAATTCCCGGAATAGCTTTCCAGACTGTTCCGGCTCACACAAAACACCGATTACAATATAAACCTTTACGCAAGACACAGGCAGGCAGACAGACAGCACTTTCAGATGGTGGCTGCAAAGTTGAGTAAGCTTTATTCGCTTAGAAGGCATTCACATGAAATTAAACTCGTTTATATTTACTCAGCAGAGTAGGGTCAATACCCCCCACTCCACCCAGTCCCCCCCCACACCCCACCCCACCCCCACCCCACACCCCACCCCACACCCCCATGGGGATCAGCGTGCAATTCGCTACGAGCAAGTTCCCACGGAGGAGCGGCGGTTCATTGCCAGTGTCACTCAGCACCGCTTCCGCCAGCTTGCGGTGCCAGTGTCTACATCAAGGTCAAAGTTCGCTCCCGCCCACAGCGGTTTGGCCGCGCCGTGCGCGACGAAAGCGGCGATTCCCGAGTTCGATTTCCCGCTCGCAGGCACCGTCGGTGATGAATATCTGAACCGGTCCTGGGCCTACCCCTCTAACCCCCCTTCCCCCACTTGCTGCTGCGGTGTATAGAACACCCCAGCACTGCGAGAGGCGATGGTGGCCAGGCCTGTGTGGTTCTGGCCAGACCACCACCTTGTTCGCTGTGCCGGCCTTAATAAGTGCTCGTTAGCAGCACTTGCCACGACGGCCTGTGAAAGGCTATAGGTGGAATCTTTGTCTACGTGCTTGTGCACGAATGCATTTCTCCCTCCAGGGTTTCCCGTGCCCGTCCCTCCTCGTGCGCCGTCTCCGCTCGTACCACCAGCGCGCCGGGGTTTGGCGGGCGAGCGAGGATCTCGTTGATCTGGTGCAAGTCATCCTCGCCCGTGCCACTGCTCTCCATGTGGGTGAGCAGCTTCTCCGTCGCCCACTGTCGCTCATCCCTGCACGGCGACGGAAGAGACGAGAGAGATGAGAGAGAGAGGTAACGCTGGAGAATTGTTCGCGCTTCCATTGTATACTTTGCTTTTGAAACGGTGGTTGTTACCGGGTATGTAACGATTAACTCTACTCTGTCTGAGCGACTGAGCGCGTGAGTGTTGAGTCGGTGAGCGAGCGAGTGCACGATTGTGCAAGTGAGCGCTGAGTGCATGGGCAAGTGAGTGAGTAAGCAAGCATCAGTCGGGACTCACACACACAAAAAATGACAAAGATCTCCCACATAGCCTATACAGACTGTTGCAGCAAGGGATGTCAGTGGACACCACATATGAAGGCCAAGACGTCACACGAGGTGGGCGGCCAGCATCATGACGAGCTGCGTTTGTCTTCCGAGCGTCGATGTTTACACACCGTACCAGGTACAAATTTGTGGCTGGGTTAACCTAGGGGAGGCCCAGGACCGGTTGAGATAATCACCGGTGTTGGCTGTGAACGGGAATCTAATTTGAGTCGCCGAGTTTGTAGCGCAGCGCGTTAACCGCTGCACTACCGCTCCCCAAACACACGCACGCCATCGCAAGCTGCTAGCGGCACGCGCGACCTTCACCTGTCACGCTCCACCCTCTCCCGCTTCTCTCTGCGCAGGCGGAGACGCTTCTCTAGCGGCGTCTCGTTGCTCAGCAACTGGGTCGCGCGCATCAGCACGCCGACTGGCAGCCTGAATTGGGGGGGGGGAGGAGGGGAGGCCCATTTGTCATCACAGGCATGTGCGGCAAAACACCATGTACGGTTGGAGCCCTGGGTTCAAAACTGTTTCTATTCAAAACTATTTCTATTTTACCAGGTAAGGCCTACTGAGCTACATAGCTCTTTTTTTCAGACGCGACCTGGCTATCACAAATGACAGTTCAACGTAGTGGCTTATCATGTAGAAATTTATCGCAGCAAAATACTCTAAACACATGTTGCTAAGCGTGGAAGGAAAAACCGGAGGACCCAGAGAAAAATCCACGCGACCACGGGGAGAGCACGCAAACTTCAAACATACAGGCGTCAGGGTCGGGATCGAACCTACAACCTCCTCTATACCAGGCGAGATAGTTAACATCTCGTTACCGTGGCGCTCATTCATTTCCCAACACGTATTGTCTGGGTCGCTAGGTGGCACGTGACTTAGTAGTAGCCGCGGTCATAGCGAGAGGTGTACCGTATGCGGTGTGCCTGGGTGGGGAAATATTTTCCGGGTTGCCGAACCAGCTGAAATGAAGTCCTGGGTGGCGGGAACGACACCGCCGCCGCCGCCAATCAGAATTGCTCTCGGGGCCCAATCAATCATCCCCCAACGTCCCTCGTTGTCTGTCTGTCCAACCGAGTTGGCCAACGGGGTTGTTTGAGGTTGTTTGACCGTACTTCGCCACGCTGGTCAGAGCGGGTTGATCAAAAGGAGGGGTGGTGCAGTGAGGACCGGTTCGGGTTTCACTCGCCACTGACGTTAGCCATGGCCAGGAATCGAATTCGGGTCGCTGGGTTTCAAAGCGCCAAACCAACCATTGTACCGCTTAAATTGAATGCTTTCCAAATAAGAATGACAGCGTTTATAATAATGCATTAATCCGTCTCCTTTGTCCGTCCGTTTGTGCCCGGGGGCCGGCACTATAACTCTCATAAAGAAGATCCAATTATGAACAAACTTTTGTTTGTATAAAGTTGTGTTGATAATCGTAATTTCCCCAATTATAAAACGGACGAATCGATGACAGCCTCGGCCCAACACTTAAAAGAGACACAAACCTGAGCAATATTCACACACGTTTTTCCCTGACAGCTACCCATCCATCCTTCCGTCGGCTTCCAAACTATTACACGATTCATGCCGCACGCATGCGTTTGCCTCGATTGTACATTAAACGATGTAGGGGAAATCAACGGCGGCTATGTCATACCCCGATCATCATCGTCGTCATCATCATGCAGTACGCCCCCCCAAGGACGGTGACCTCTCTCGCATCGCAGGTTAGTAATCCTTCGGCATGTTGTACCCAGTTGTTATGTTTGATTCCCGCGAGTTCCGCTCGTTACTCGAGCAAGACGGAGCGTTTGAACGACACAACTCCCTTGCACATAGATCGTACCCCAGCAAGGATCCGATGAAGGCTCCTCCCACAAAGCCTCGGGGTCCAAGGGACAGCCGCATGATGCCTCCGGCGAGTGCTGCGGGCACACGAATATGCACGCATGCACGCTCTCTCTCTCTCTCTCGTCTCTCTTCTCTCGCGACCGTTACTTGTGCATACTCAAACTCTGCAGCGAATCCGCAGCCGCGCTTGCGTGCGATGATCGGTTACATCGCTGATGTTAGAACGAGATGTCGGCCATTTTAAAATTAACTTGTTGTATCCCGATTGCGCCAGCAGCGTCACGTGATGAGGTCTCCATTCGGATCTGTCAGTGCAACCCCTCGTGTTAGAAAGGGGCCCATGGGAAGCAGGTGTCACAGGGCTACCCCCGAGATGTGACCTGGTACACATAATAGGAGGGGGCAGCACTTTCTCCACCTGATACCTTGCCACAGCAAGGAACGTTCATAGCTCACTACACTTGAGAACCCCGGTTTAATTATGGCGACTGAAACCCAGATTCGAATCAAAGTTCTCAGCGCTGCCAACTCAGCGTTCTGACCTCTGTGCACCTGGGCGCCCCCTAATATTTATTTTAGAAGGAATATCGACCATTAGTGCCCCCTAATAAGCATCAGTCTCAACAGTAATTGCGGGGCGGGGGGGGCTCACCTCCGCCCGTGATGTAATTCCCCACGGTGCCTTTTCCTCGGTAAGCGCCAAGGCCGATTCCAATGCCACTGCAACAGACGGACGGACGGACGGACGGAGCGGGAGGTGAGTGATGATGGACGGTGTTGGCTATGCACGTGGCTGCTGTGATCCACCAACCCTGCTGCCGGCAAGGGTTGGTGGATCTCCGCACGAATGTTGTGAAACTTCCTTCCTGTGGACGTGGATAAGGTGCCATACCCTGGCTCGCCAGGAGAAGGCAGTACAGGAAAATGTGAAATCCACCTATTTTATGCTAAACTAAACTTTTTATTTTACCAGGTAAGGCTCACTAAGCTATACAGCTCTTTTTTTCAGAAGCGACCCGGCCACAAAAGGTAGCTCAACAAAGTGGCTTGTCATCTGGAGATTTGTACAAAGCCAAATACTCTAAACGCATGTTTCTAAATGTGGTGGGAAAAACCGGAGGATCGGGAGAAAAATCCACACGACCAGGGGAAGAACACGCAAACTCCAGATATACAGCAGGCGTCAGAGTCGGGATGAAACCAACTACCTCCTGTGTTCCAGGCGAGGTATTTAACATCTCGCCACCGTGGCGCCCCCTGCTCCTTCTGTATTGATTGGAGGGTTTTCTCCTCGCAAGCGTGGGTTTTCTTCAGGTGCTCCGTTTTCCTCCCATATATAACACCTTAACATACAGAGGATCGCAGAGCTTGGGAAATTGTCGGCGCCGGCTCACCACGTGGGTACTGCCTTCTCGGCGTCAAACCATCGCAGTAATCCCGTAACGCAAGTTGTGTTTTTCTGCAACAGTTGATCGTAACTCGACTTCGCGACTACGCGACTCCGTGAACTCACTTGAAGATGGTCATGAAGAAGCCGACCCTCAGCGCCATGGGGACACCTGCACGGATGAACGCTTTGATTGCCACGTTGTGAATGGCGCGCTGGGGGAAGAGACGACATGGTGGGCGAGGCAGGCGGTGAGACAGGGGGCGAGGAAGAGTTCAAAAAAGGGTAAAATAAAAGAGGCGAAACAGGGATGACATGCGGTGAGTGTGGGAATGTGAGTGAGCGTGCCAGTGAGCATGCCAGTGGGGATTGTCTGAATGAGCGAGTGAGTGCGAGCGCATGATCGAATAAGCATGCCTACAGGGAGCGTGTGAGTGTGTGACAGTGCGAGTGAGCAGCTGAATGGGTTCGTGAGCGAGTTACCATGCCAGCGGGCAGTGCACGAGTGGCTGCGCGCGCCAGTGACTAGTAGGGAAAGTGCGAGCGTGGGAGCGAGTGTGAGCGTGCCAGCGAGGGAGTGAACGCACCACGGCCTCGATGCGGTGTGAGTAGACCTCGCCGTATCTGCGCTCCATGAAGCGCTCGCGCGCGAGTTGGGCCGCCGGGACTCCGCTCCCCAAAAAGCCGCCGAACAAGCCCACGGTGGTGCCCACTATCAGCAATCCCAGCTCCTCCGGGTACGGGTACCTGTGTCCCGCACGCGATCACCCACTTGGCTCACACGTTCACCCCATCGCTCACTCACTCACATGATCGCTGACTCGATCAACTTTCTCACTCGCTCCAAGAGATTTCTCACCTCCCCAGATTGCTCACTTGTGCTTGCTCATTCGATTGTTCACTCACTCATTAACTCACTCGTTCGCTCACTCAATCATCCACTTACTTGTTTATTCGATCGCTTACTCACTTACTCATCTGATTGCTCACTCATTTATTCACCTGATCGCCCACTCATTCGATCAGTCCCTCACATACTTTATTATTTCAGCTGGTGAGGGCCCGAGAGCTGAACAGCCCTTTTCCAAGGAGGACCATGACCCAATATTGCTGTGCTGCCATCTCCTGGCCAATTCGCGTCCCAATTCGCGTCCCTTTGACCGCTGGTGCGAGGAATCGAATCGGACCCACCCTGTCCAGGCTCCCCCAACTCTCCATGGCTCGGCGTTTGGGCCCGCCACTCTGGCCCATGGATCCTGGTGCAAGCTGCACGGCGTGCACACTCGATTAACTGCACCACTCCCTTGGAGTGGAAGTTGGCAGCCTTCACACGCCCCACGCTGCCAAGTGAGAAATCACGACTAATGCCACCGTCAATCCGGCGACCGAACGCCGATCAATGATCTCCCGGTGTCCAGAGAAGCAGCAGCAACTAGAGCCACCAAAACGGCCCTCCTCTCCAGGCAGGCCAGACAACCACGCTTTCAGACAAGGCGCTGCAACAGGGTTCCTCCAAACTCAACATTGAGGGGCCTTTTTCCCAGGCAAAGTACGAGTAACTCGGGAACATTTTGAAAGAAGCATAACATCGACGTTCTCACCCTCTGAGAAACCCAAGTACCCATTGGTCAACAGGCCCAGTCGCTACCACTACCTTTTACTCAACAGCGAGAGCCATCGCTAGGGAGTAGTGGTGGGGTAGGGGGGGGAAAGTGCAAACACCGGCACTCACTGCACATGGAAGACGTCTCGCACTCGGTCCCATCCCGTCTCCTCCTCCTCCGCCGGCCCCGTCTCGCCGGAGGTTCCGGTGGCACAGGGGGCGGTGCCAGGGCCCTCGGGCGATTGGGCGAACACGACGGCCGGCAGCGGCATCCGCAGGCTCTTCGCCAACCGCGTTACGGTGGCACAAGAGAGCAGCGCATGCCTCTCGTCCCCTCCTCTTCCTCCTCCTCCATCTCCTCGGTCTCCAGGCGCCGCCACCCCCGCTCTTGTCTGCTGAGATGCGGCGTCCATCGTGAGGAGCGGTGGCTACTGCATAGGTGGAGTGGTGGTCACTTCGTAGGTGAATATTTATACACATGCATTAAATTGTATATCACTTTTGACTGCCCACCCAATGCATGCACATTTTGGTGGAATAAGTGGACTCCACTCAGCTATGATCCTGGATGCCGTGGAATGGCTACAATATTAAACAGCTTTGGAGCCAGTTGGTTTTTACAAATGCCTTACAAAAGAATTTAATTGTATTTGTGAGAACAGACTGTTTACTATGTACGGCAAACGCAAAAATGAAGATGTGCACGCTTGGAATGACACTGAGAGACAGGAAGATGAACAGGTGGCTCGGAGAACAAATGTAGTTTTTTTTTTTTTACGAGGTGAGAACTCAAAAGACCAGAATGGTCTTATTTGCAATAGTGACCTGGGTCAGATTGGAGCCGACATATTGACAGTTGATAAAAATAACAAACAAAAACTCATCACGTTCATCATTACCTCCAAGTGTGGCTATTAAAAATAAATATATACAACAGGTAACGTTTCGGGCAATAGCCCTTTTTCATTGCATATATATGGAGAGGCCAGGGAGATAGAGTGAATAGGCGGCACACCAAAAATCTGAATTCCATCTGTCCCATCTGTATGGGATAGTGTTTCACCCCTCACACGTGTGGGTTTTCTCCAGGTACTTCCGTTTCCTTCAACATGTAAACACAAATTCAATGGGCTGAGAACACCTTCATATATACAGTGAGGGAAATAAGTATTTGATCCCCTGCTGATTTTGTACGTTTGCCCACTGACAAATAAATGATCAGTCTACAATTTTAATGGTAGGTTTATTTGAACAGTGAGAGACAGAATAACAACAACAAAATCCAGAAAAACGCATGTCAAAAATGTTATAAATTGATTTGCATTTTAATGAGGGAAATAAGTATTTGACCCTCTCTCAATCAGAAAGATTTCTGGCTCCCAGGTGTCTTTTATACAGGTAACGAGCTGGGATTAGGAGCACTCCCTTTAAGAGTGTGCTCCTAATCTCAGCTCGTTACCTGTATAAAAGACACCTGTCCACAGACGCAATCAATCAATCAGATTCCAAACTCTCCACCATGGCCAAGACCAAAGAGCTCTCCAAGGATGTCAGGGACAAGACTGTAGACCTACACAAGGCTGTAATGGGCTACAAGAGCATTGCCAAGCAGCTTGGTGAGAAGGTGACAACAGCTGGTGCGATTATTCGCAAATGGAAGAAACACAAAAGAACTGTCAATCTCCCTCGGCCTGGGGCTCCATGCAAGACCTCACCTCATGAAGTTGCAATGATCATGAGAATGGTGAGGAATCAGCCCAGAACTACACGGGAGGATCTTGTCAATGATCTCAAGGCAGCTGGGACCATAGTCACCAAGAAAACAATTGGAAACACACTACGCCGTGAAGGACTGAAATCCTGCAGCGTCCGCAAGTTCCCCTGCTCAAGAAAGCACATACATGCCCGTCTGAAGTTTGCCAATGAACATCTGAATGATTCAGAGAACAACTGGGTGAAAGTGTTGTGGTCAGATGGGACCAAAATGGAGCTCTTTGGCATCAACTCAACTCGCCGTGTTTGGAGGAGGAGGAATGCTGCCTATGACTCCAAGAACATCATCCCCACCGTCAAACATTGAGGTGGAAACATTATGCTTTGGGGGTGTTTTTCTGCTAAGGGGACAGGGCAACTTCACCGCATCAAAGGGACGATGGACGGGGCATGTGTACCGTCAAATCTGGGGTGAGAACCTCCTTCCCTCAGCCAGGGCATTGAAAATGGGTCTTGGATGGGTATTCCAGCATGACAATGACCCAAAACACACGGCCAAGGCAACAAAGGAGTGGCTCAAGAAGAAGCACATTAAGGTCCTGGAGTGGCCTAGCCAGTCTCCAGACCTTAATCCCATAGAAAATCTGTGGAGGGAGCTGAAGATTCGAGTTGCCAAACGTCAGCCTCGAAACCTTAATGACTTGGAGAAGATCTGCAAAGAGGAGTGGGACAAAATCCCTCCTAAGATGTGTGCAAACCTGGTTGCCAACTACAAGAAACGTATGACTCTGTGATTGCCAACAAGGGTTTTGCCACCAAGTACTAAGTCATGTTTTGCAGAGGAGTCAAATATTTATTTCCCTCATTAAAATGCAAATCAATTCATAATAATTTTGAGATGCGTTTTTCTGGATTTTGTTGTTGTTATTCTGTCTCTCACTGTTCAAATAAACCTACCATTAAAATTATAGACTGATCATTTATTTTGTCAGTGGGCAAACGTACAAAATCAGCAGGGGATCAAATACTTTTTTCCCTCACTGTAGAAGACTGCAGAGCTTGGGGAATTGTTGGTAGCGCCGGCTCACACCTTTCCCGCTCATCTGTGGCTCCTCTTTGAGCCTCTGAGTCATTCTCTCTCTCTTCGAGAGCGAACGAATACCGTGCAGCGGTGCCGTGTTACGAGTTGAAATTATTATCATGGTAGGGGAGGGGATGAAAGGTGGAGGATCATTACCTGCCTATAGGTCTGGCGGTGACATGGCCAGGCGAGTTGGTGGGTGAAGGTTGTCGCCCGAGTTGAGTTGACGTCCACCTCTTAACGCACACAGGTGGAACGGAGGGTCACACAATCCTGCATCATGACCAGAAGTTTCAGACACGCGTGTTAAATACTCAACAACACAACAACACAGAACAACAAATGAGCAGCTGTTACATGTGGGGTGTTTAACCATACTTCACCACGCGGGTCAGTGTGGGTTAAAAGTAGGTAGCATTGATGACAGAAGCACGGAAGTACAATACAATTGATTTTTGTCAATTGTTATATTTAATCTTGATTTGAAGCTTTATCTCGCCATATTTCAGCATTTTTTCTTGCTGTGGTTGTTCCACCTGATGAAGATTGCTTATGTTGCGATCGAAACGTCGTGACTTGTTTGATTTGATTTCTACCTACGTGACTTTACCGAAAGAACCAAAGAGTAAATTGTTATATTGTTAGTGAATAAATTCAGGTTGGTTGCACACAGAGGAAGCGAAGAGGTTTCCCAGATCCGGTTCAGATCTCACTGTCAGCCGTGGTGTGGAATCGAACTAAGGTTGTTGCTGGATTCACAGCGCGGTGAGCTCATCGCTACACCACCGCTCCACCCTCCCACCCCGTTCCCCACTTCATTTAATTTCCAGAGTCGGTCATTGTGTGCCAGATTCGAATATTACCTTCAAATTACTCAATTTTAACTCTACACAGCAATCATCGCCCCCCTACTGGCATACTAATGCCCCGGGTCACTCTTGCAAATGAGACTCATCCTATTCTCCTTGAGTTCTCTCCTGGCTAAACAAAATAAACTCTAAACTGGAGTACAGTACCATTTGTGGTAAGCCACCTCGTTTTGCAAAAAACACAAACGTGCCCTCTGCTGCAAGATACCAACATCTGCACTGCACCTGTGTAATATTTTTTTAAAAATTATTATTTCACTTGTTTACCCAGGAAAGCCTCACCGAGTCTCAGGACTCCAAGTTGTATTGCAGTTTGGGGGCCAATGTTGCTGTCATCCAAATTGAGTCAATTTGAAGGTAATATCTTCCACTTTCAGATGTTTTGGCCAATACTCGTTACAGTAGTATGTTACGTTTAAATAAAGCTATGGCAGGAAAACGGAGAATTCGGACGAAACCCATGCTGAACAGGGAAAGGAACATACAAATTCCGTGCACTCTGCTGAACAGGGGTGGGAAAAAACTGCTGAAAAAAAACAAGACTACATATTTTTTGTACCAGGTAAAGCCCACTTATAGTTCGTTTTCAGAATTGACCTGGTCACAAATGATAGCTCAACGAAGTGGCTTATCATGCCGAATACTCTAAACGCATATTTATAAATGTTGATATAAAAAACCGGAGGACCCGGAGAAAAATCCATGCGACCACGGGGAGAGAGACACGCAAACTCTAAATATACAGGTGCCAGGTTTGGGATCGAACCCACGACCTCCGGTATACCGAGTGAGGTAGTTAACATCTCAGGAATGGAACCCAGGTCTCTGGTTCGTCAGGGACGAGTGTTACCCAAGTTAAGTCCCTTGAAGCAACCGGTTGCATCAGCAGAGGGAGCCGTGCCCGATTGCATAAAACCTGGCCTTCAGCGGCTCTGGTGGAGCGGTGGCGCAGTGACTAGCACACTGCGCCATGAGCCCGGACCACCTGCGTTCGATTCCGAACCACGATTATTAACATTGTTGGCCAGTAACACCTGAACCGGTGCAGGGTCTTCCCCCACATCCACCTCACCCCCTAACTTATTTCACCAACCCACACTGACCAGCATGGTGAAGTATGGTCAACACAACCACCCCCCCCCCCCCATGTGGATTGACAACGCCTGTCATAGTTGACTTGGTGCGGAGGATGTTTGCCGCAGTGGTGTGGAACGGGGTAGAACGCCGGCACTTTGCAAATCAGAGGGTCGCCGGTTCGATCTCTCGTCGCGGCAGCTGTTGCAATCGTGAGCACGTTCCTGAACCCACCCCCAACTCACCCACTCCACCACCCAGCGATACAATACGAATGGGGAAACACCGAATGTGTCGATCGGCAAAGGCGCGCGTGTTGTGGTAGAACGTGAGTAACTCCACACCAACGAGCAGGCCAAATGAACCTTGTGCCGACAGAGCTCCTTCCGACAGCACAGGCGCCAGTAAGAAATTTCACGGCTTCACCTTTACCCTGACGCTTGAGACCACAGCCGAGACACGTAGAGGACGAGGGGGTTGCCTCTGGTGGGTGGCTGGACGAGCCCGTCAGCTCGCTCGGCACACCGCCGAGGTCGATGACAGTCAAAAATGTTTAAATGCCACTTGAAGCGGAGTCGTGAGCGTGGGGGGGGAGCTGGCCGAGTGCAGAGGACACGGGACACGCGCGGCGGCTCCCACCACTACCTCCACCACCACGTGGGGGTGAGGCGACGCGGCCGCCACCTTACTAAGGGTGCCTGTGTGTATGTGTCTGTCTGTATGTGCGTGTGTCTCTGTGTGTGTGCGTGTGTGTCTCTGTGTGTGTCTGTGTGCGTTTAGCGCGCTGCGCTATGAACCCGGCGACCCGAGTTCGATTCCCGCTCACGGCCAACACCAGTGACGATTTTCTGAACCGGTCCTGGGCCTCCCCTAGGTCGACCCAGCCTCAAATGAGTAGCTGGTGCGCTGTGTAAACATCACCACTGGGGAGACAAAGGCGGCCGGGCGTGGTTGTTAGCCACCCTCTGGTGCCGTGCCGGCCTTCATAGGTCGCCAAGGGCACTTGCCCCAGCAGCCTGTGAAGGCTGTAACAGGGGATCGCTGTCCAGGGGAATTGAGTTTTCAGGTTGGCGTTCAGCCGTTTCAATACGGGCACATCTTTTTCTCTATTTGTTTGTGTTTCTCCCTTGTCGTGGGACTTTGTAGGATGAACGTTGCGATTTATAAGGGCACGGGGTGACCAATAAGGTCCGAATTGGTCCGTAAATAAGGGGTTGACACCTATGGTTTTATTTGGACGAACATTTTTTGGGGGATATTTATTTGACATTCCTTCAGTTACCCCAAGTCCACGCTGCTTGGCATCGCAAACAAAGGCTATTTAATATCCCCGACGGCGACTTTTGAGACACTACTGTGTTTGTGAGTTGCTTAAATGTTGCTGCTGCTGCTTGCAGATGTTAGGCTGTACTGCCACAGAAGCCCGTGGTGACCCCGGTAAGGTTGTGATGTTCAGGACTCTCGCTTATTTATCTATGTGAATGGGGTGTCACTTGTTAAATTGACCGCACCTACCGTCCAGGGTTGGTTGGTCCCATATTTCTTGTGTGCAGATTCATTTTATGTTTTAAATAAACTTTGTTAAATGGGGGTCACGTGCGTCTGTGTTATTTTTCTGCTCTACATTTACACATAAACCACATTGTTGACCCATTATTTCTGGCCAGGACGCTCCTGAAAAAGAAGCTCATAGCTCAGTGGGCTTTACCTGGTAAGATAAAATTATAGTTTCGTTTTATTTGCAAAATTATTTTTAAAAGTGATTTGTTTGCACTTTCCTATACTTTGCATTCCCATCGTTTTTTATTTATTGTAACGTTCTATGCCCCCCCCCCCCACCCTCTCTCCCTTTACTGGGCACCTGTGAAAAAAGAGCTTCATAGCTCATCGGATTCCTCGGGTGAGCAAATAAAAAAACAACCCTGGGTGCTGGTGCAGGCACGCGCGGGGCACCCCCACGCAACGTGGCCGCTGCTGGTGTCGCGCGTGCGTGCGCGCGCACATCCGGTCGCACGGCGATGACGTCAACGACACGGAGCCCGCCCCCCGCTCGCCCCGCCCCCCGGCAGCGAGGCGAAGGCGACGGCAGCTCGCAGAGGCGGGCGGCGGTGGCGGCGGCGGCGGCGGCGGCGCGGGAGAGTTCGCGTCTCTCTTTCCGTCTCTCGACCTCGCGCCCCCGGCTTCCCTCCACCGTGTGCCAACTCCCTATACTCGTCCGGGTTACCCGCCACCCGGCTTCCGTCCCCCCCCCCACGCCCCAGGCGGTGAAGGTTTGGGCTGAGCCATGAGCGACAAGTACACGCGCGCCGTGCTTCGGGTAGTGGTGGCTCAGGTGAGAGGAGTTGGTGGTTGTTGAAGATGTTCACTCCGCTTGTGGTGATGGTGGTGTGGTTGTTGTTCTCCTCGCTGCCGTTGCTTTGTTTGGTGGAGATTGCGGCCGCAGGGTTTGTTGGAGAGAGGTGCTGGGTAGAGTTGGGGACAAGCGTCTGGTCGAGTTGCAGAGTTGTGGATGCGGTGAGCGCCGGGCGGCTAATGTTATGGTGGGGGGAGACACAGTTTGTGTTTTTGCATTTGTCAGTTCAGTAAGTCAACCGATGGCACCTGGATCTGTCCCGTGAACTGCCTCGACGCTTCACGTGGCCTCAAAGTGCACCTAGCTTGGCACGTCACCCGCCGCTTAGTGGCGAACGCCGGTCGTTGCATGTGTACTGGTTATGGTGCTGTGTGTTGCCCTACAGTATGAGGGCAATTGGCATTTGGAGTGTATGTGTGTGGATATTGTAGGTGTGTATAGTTGGGTACAAGTGGTACAGTGAGGGAAAACAAGTATTTGATCCCCTGCTGATTTTGAACGTTTGCCCACTGACAAAAATGATCAGTCTATAATTTTAATGGTAGGTGTCTTTTATACAGGTAACGAGCTGAGATTAGGAGCACACTCTTAAAGGGAGTGCTCCTAATCTCAGCTTGTTACCTATATAAAAGACACCTGGGAGCCAGAAATCTTTCTGATTGAGAGGGGGTCAAATATTTATTTTCCTCATTAAAATGCAAATCAATTTATAACAATTTTGACATGCGTTTTTCTGGATTTTGTTGTTATTCTGTCTCTCACTGTTCAAATAAACCTACCATTAAAATTATATTCTGATCATTTCTTTGTCAGTGGGCAAACGTACAAAATCAGCAGGGGATCAAATACTTTTTTCCCTCACTGTAGGTGTGTGTGTGCCTGCTGCAGAGTGAGTGAGTGTGCATGTGTGCGGGTTAGGGCTGGTACATGCGTCTGCAAGGCACATTTGAGGACAAGTGGCTGCAGATGTGTTGTCTGTGACCATGCAATACAATTTACCTTCATGTCGCGTGTAAATGCAACCGCATCTGCAAATGCTTAACAGGGAGGAAAATATAACACCGTATCTGTATGCACATGAAAGCAAATGGGTATTGAGTTTAAATTTTGATTTAAAGCTTTCGTGACTGCAGTAATTCATATTCTTAGTTCTTTCGGTAAAGTCACGAGGAAGGGAGTTCTAGACAACGGGAGCAGCCGAGAAGGGGCGAAGATTGTGGGCATTTTCAGACGGAGGAGGCCTTCATTGCTGGGGCGTAGACAACTTGCCGAAGAGGTGAGTGAGGTGAGCGAGAAGAGGTAGTAGAAGTCAAGATTGAAAAGTCCATAAAGACTTTTAAAGACAGCCACTTTAAATCTTTTAAGTGAATCCGAGACGTTGTACAGGAAGCCAGTGGAGGGATTGGTAATCGTGCTCGAGTGACGTGATCAGCCGTACGATGGATCGGCAGCCCCTTGCGGCGGCGATCGAGAAATGAGGGAATTTGTGAGACAGCGGAGGAGGGAGTTGCAGTAAAAGTCCAAGCGAGAGAGGTTATGGAGCCGTGGATTTGTGGCGGAGGGATGCAACGCCGCGTGCGTGCGGGCCATGTCGTGCGGGTGCAGGTTGGGAGAGAGGCCTCACAGACCCGGGAGAATGTGGTGGGTGAATGGGAGTTCAGGATCTCAAATAACCCCGAGGTTGAACACCGCCTTTTTTTTTGGTCCAACGTGAGATTAAGAGTCCAAGAGATGCACACTTGACTTGGAGACTTAATTTAGAACTGACTTTGTTTTGCCTTTTTGAATGAGCTTAGTTTTGGCAGTATTTAAATGAAGTAAGTTAGAGTCAGTCCAGTATGAAATTGCATCAAGGCAGGCTTCAAGATTGGACATTGCGGATTGTCTAGTTGAGGACAAGTGGCTTGCAGATGTGTGACAATACAGTGTGCGCATGTGTGCGGTTCAGGGATAGTGTGCGTTTGTGTATGTGTAACTAGTTGAGGACACGTGACTGGCAGATGTGCTGTGTGTGAAAAAATGCATTGTGTATGTGCATGTGTGCGGGTTAGGGATTAGTGTGTGGGTTTGTTGTATGTGTGTAGTTGGCACCTAGCCTGGCACGAACATTGGTGTTTGTGGGTTGATATTTGTGGGAGGTTTATACACGTGCACCATACACGCGTGTGTCTGCGTGTCCTTGCCACTGCTCGCGGTAGGGCTGTGTGAAAATGAGAGAGGGTGCATGTGAAAGTCTGTTCTATTGTTGCATATTGCAAGCCTATGTTCAGCAGCTAAATGCCAGGTCTTCTAGCCATGAGAGAGGGCTTCAGGAAATCGTTTGTGTCGTTTTACTATTCCTATATGCATCTTAGTTTGGATTGCATGGCCACAGTTATACTGTGGGTTGTCTTCAATTTTCTGTTTATGAAGGACACGTGCTCATTGGCCGATTGATTTTCTGATGCGGTTGATGGTTACACCCGTGTCTTTGAACAGTACTGTAATGTCAAAGCCAGGAGGTGTTCATTCTGGACGTCCACTTTGTTCTGCTGTGTTCGCCAGCATTCTTCCAGATCTAGGATCCCAGACTGGCTATTGATACTCGAGTGGGCGGCGAGGTATTGGTTAATGGATAGTTTGTTGTTGGGCAAGAAAACGTGTAAAATTCTCTTGCAGTTTGCATATTAATATTTGGTGCCAAAACATTTGCCAGACTAGGGAGCTCGGGGATTTGTGTCGATTTCAGTGTTCCAGTTATGATGCGCATAGCATTAATGAATTGTGCATCTAGTAGATTTGTGTACAAGCTCCTTGACTAAGCTGGGCCTGCAGTACCTCTGCCACTGAGTAGATCAGTGATAAGATGGCAGTTCGCAGCAGATTGGCTGATGCGCCGCAGGGTCTTGCAGTTTTCTTGTCGCAGGATGATTCTTGATTTCGTCTTTTCACTGCCCCATGACCTGAGTGATGTGATCGTGAGAGTGAGTGTGACGATGGTGACTGTGACGGACCCCGTGAAGAGTGAGCGCCCGTGGCTGTGGTGCAGGTTTGTCAGGGGCTGGGCTGGGACGCCGTTCAGGTCTGCGCTTCGGAGGTGCTCACCGACGTCCTGCAGCGTTACCTGGAGCAGCTGGCGCGATGCTGCCACCGCTACAGCGAGCTCTGTGAGGGCGCCGCACACTCAACGACAGCACGCACGCTCACCACTGCCACGTGCTCACCACTGCGCACATCACATTCACTCATCACACACTAGGGGAACTGCACAACAGGGATATCCTATAGCAGGTCACGCCGAGGGTCACTGGGCATACCAGGGGACACCACCCATCCGGAGCGCCACACACACGGACGGGGTATCGAATGAGAAGCGTACACCAGGGCATCGCACACATTGGACACGCCACGCGCACGGGGGAACGTCACACACACCTGAGGCACCGCAGAGGCTGGCTGTGACGTTGCACTCCTGTAAGCCAGTACTGTGGAGGCAGCGAGGGTTGGTGGATCAGCGCACAAATGTTGTGAAACTCCCTTCTGAGGTGCCATACCCTGGCTCGCCAGGAGAAGGCAGTTCAGCAAAAATGTGGACTCCACTTGTTGTATGTACGTTGAACTTCTTTCACACTGTACGTCGCAAACCATGCTATTCGGAGGTTTTCTCCAGATGCTCCGATTCCCTCCCACATGTTAACACTCATGAATTGTCTGATAACACCTTAATATATCGAGGACCGCAGAGCTTCGGCAATTGTTGGTAGTGCCGGCTCATCACGTGGCTGGCTGCCTTTTTACCGCTCTTCTGTGGTTCCTCGTGCCTGTGAGTTGTGTTCTCCCTCTTCGACAGCGAGCGAATATTGTGCTGCGCGTTAGAAGATGAGATTATTACGAGTGTCTTGGCACTCGGCGGTGTCAACTGAACCGCTCATCGCGCGCCCCCGTCTTGTACGTGATGTGCGGTCGTACCTTAAACACACTGGTGCCGCGTTCGCTCATTACACTCGCACTCCTGAGTCGGTTCGCTGGCACGGGTGAGTCACGACACTGGCGCTTATCAGACATCACAGTCGCACTAATCAGACAACACATATGCATACACGTAACATCCACGCGTCACATTTACACACTCACTTATGCGTTCACTCTTAATCGTATCCGCTCATCAAAATACAGAGATTCTCCTTTCCCCTCTCTTTAGCCTGAGACTCGTGAAGCAAGTGCTACTAGCGAGCACCTATTAAGTCTGGTCAGCACAATACCCTTATCTCATTGTTGTTGATGTTTTAGATAAATACCAGGTATTCATATAACGCAATTGTCACCATGGTGACTTGTCATGTAGGATGTTAATGATGACGTTAATGATGTTTGTGTTGATTTCATTGATCGTGTAGATGATGACGTTGACGTCGTAGCACACACTCGCATTTACATACACTCACACTCATCATATTCACCTACCGCCCTCGTCCCATACACCTGCAATTGCATACACATCCCTTACTCACTTGCAGCCGCACTCATGTATGCCTTGTCTAACAATATTGCATCACTATTCATAACACTTTACTGCATAATCAGTCGAGAGCACATCAGAGACCCACAACACACACACATATCCATATTAAGCCCGTTTTTTTAATCAAATCCACTGCTGGATGAGGACCTCCCCACAACACGTGAGTTGTGGGGCGTTAATTGCCCATACTTCACCACTCTGCACAGTGCGGGTCGGTGAAGGCGATGAGCAAAGACGTTGGAGCACAGTGTGCAGTAACAACGATTAATTCTGCCCAATATGGATATACTCGCCCCCGGCCACAGGATTGTGGAATCGTATTCCCACCGGCCGGCCACAGGAATGTGGAATCGTAGTCTTCCACCACCGGCTCGCGGCTGTAAACCGGTGATGCCATTCATTACCCAAATCGTCGCCCACCCGTATGTTATTTTATTTTAAGGCCACGACACTCTCGTTGACGAAATGTGTTGAGCGCGAGAAGAAATCGCTTGCACTTGTGGCTAAGTGTATCTGGGCAGATAGGGTTATTAGCCACCTACCCCGTTTGAGCATTAAATGCCTCGAACAATTTGTACAACGTTAGTACAAAAAAAAGTTAACAATTAAACACGTGTTGTGTGTGTTAGCGCTTGTCACCACAATGGGCCTGGCTATCGAGAGGGGCGGGGCCGTGTTGCCTGGGCGGGGGCATGGGAGGAGGGAGGGGGGGAACTCTGCGTCCCCGCCCCTCTGTTTACATTTCCCATCCCGCACGCGCGACTCGCTCCCTAACAAGCTTCGCCATTGGCTCGAGGCCGCCACGCCTCCCGTGCCGCGGCCAATGGGGAGGTTGGGCTCGCGCGGCGGCGCCTGTGCGCGCTGGGGAATGCAATGGCAGCGCGGCCGTGCCGAGATCGCATTGTCCTGTGCGGGGGAGACGAGGAGATGGCGACCGGGGCTCCTGGGTTCGAGTCCGGGAACCCTGGGGTCCCCGCACCCCCTCGCTGGGTGCTGAGGGGGTCCCTGTAGGTGAGGGGGGATGGGGTGGGGTTTGTGTGGGGGGTTTGGATTGGGGGGGAGGGGGGGGTGGTGGTTTTTGGTGGTGGGGGTGGGGGGGATTTTCAGACGTAAACAATATGTGCTGCGCGTGGAATATTGTTGTTATTATTGACACTTCGTATCATAATTATTCACCTTCGATATGGTTATGAACATGAGCATGCGACGTAATGAGCGTCGTCATCATCCTCGTGATAAACATAAGCGACATCACCCTCTCCGCAATTACCAAAACCATTAACATAATCGGCTCCGTCGTGAACATCGTCGCCGTTTATGTCACTTAACGTAATCAACATTGTATTTGGAAAATCGTGACCAACCGCAGCGTTATAACATCTCAATTAACATCGTTGACATCACCCATCATCATGGTGTCATAATGCATAGCCTCATTAACATAATGAGCAACATCGTCATTAAGGTCAGTGTAATAAACAGCATCATTAACATTCTTTCAATGACGTCATTAACATCAGAACGATAGACAGAAGCTTTATGCATAACACTAATAATATTAACATTAATATCATGTATTATTACCATGCACATGATAAGCATCATCACCTGCGATCATCACCATTAACATGGTTATCACCTCCAACATCGTCGTCATAAACAGCAACAGCATCGTTATCACCATCAGCTGCACCATGATCATCAAGACACGTGTTGGCGTGCTAGCGGGTAACGTCACGAAGATTATTACCATCATTACATAATTAACATCAACATCGCAAACGTCTTCATTATCAACAGGATCATTATTGTATAAAATGTCAACATCGTTGGCATCATCTACAACATTGTTAATATGTTAAACATCGTGACCAACATCAACAAAACACGTGTGTGTCAGCACGTGGAATATCATTCATAACTTCATCATTACCATGTCATAATCTGTAAGACCAACCAAAGCCCCACATGCAGAAACATCATTACCATATGCTTTTTTTGTCATTGCATAAACAAGACACGCATGAGCGCGGAGGACGTTGCGTATGTCATTAATGTCATCGATCATATCAACCCGTGCATCAAAATAAAGGGACAGATCCGAGAGAACGTCTACTGCGGAGATGGAGCAATGAAATCATGCCTTGAGCAGGTGCTGCTCGGTGGATCACACCTCAGGGTCTTGAGAGGTGGCGCCTGCTTGGGGCGAGGCCTTCAGCAGTGGATTGACCGTGGCTAATGATGATACATCAACATCGGCGTCACCCTAACATCACAAATAATATCTTTAAATCCAAATTGTGCGATTGCATCATTGTCAGGTGATTGCAATGTGCGGGTTTGAGAGCAATTTGCTTGCGCAACTAGCTGCTCGGATGTGGGCAAAGCAGTTGCAGTTAATTCAAGTTGCGCGATTTCAAGAGCGATTTCAACTCTCAGGTGTGTGGGGACCTGGCTTTCCATGGCCAAGTGCCAAGTTTATTTTCTTTAACCAGATGAGAACTCAAGTGACCATGATAGAGGTTTCATTTGCAAAAGTGACCTGGGTGAACAAAATGGCAAAGGCAAAAACAAAGTTCAGTAATGAAGCAAATCGAAAGCAGGGTAAAAACAACTGTGTCACATGAGATATTGAAAATATTGCGCCAAACATAAATCATTGGGAAACAATCAATTTCACGTAGCCTGAGTCGGCTCAGACAGATATTTTTTTGACAAATAATACAATTACAAAGTTAAGTTACAGAAACATGTATATCGGGCGTCTATTGTACTAATATCTAAACACAAGGATAAACTGCAAAACATGCTTTCACTGCAAGGACTGTGTTGCAGTTGATACCTAAGCCTAGGACTAAATATCTCCTCGTTTTAGACAAGGACAAAACATGACAAACGCAAATACAATTGTCAAATACAGTTGCAGTGTATGAGGAACTTTGCCACGCTATGTGTGTGTGGTGCCGCAAACAGACGGGCGCACGGACCCAGACCTCGAGGACGTGGGGCAGGCGTTCGGCCTCATGGGCGTGAGCCTGCACGAGCTGGAGGACTTTGTGCACAACCTGGAGCCCGTGGCGTTCGCACATACGCTGCCTGCCTTCCCGGCCGTCAAGGCCAACACGCTCGGCTTTCCGACGGCGGCGGCAGTGGCGGCCGCAAGCGCCCGTGACGCCGCCTCGCGCCGCGACTACATCCCCGACCACCTGCCGCCGCTCGTGTCCGCGCAGGAAGGTGAGTTTGCTGCCACCCCCTGCCTAGGATTTCCCCCAGCTCGCTTTCGCCACTTATCCACTGGCACGGCTGAACCAATCCAGTGTGGGGCGCACTGACGGTATGCATTTTTTTTTTCAATTGGCTATTTTATGAGCCCAGTCAGAACCAAACTTTGATAATGTTGAGACATCTGAATCAGGCTGCGGGGCCAAGGATGGCCAGGGCCCGGGCTAACGGTGTATGCAACTGATGTCATTATAGCTAAAAAAATTATAAAACAAGATCACCTAAACAGGTGTGTGACAGTGAGCGAGTGTGCATAGCTGTCTGTGTGTGTACCATCGCGGCATCTGTGTGTTCCTGAGGTCACACATTGCGCGTGACATCAGCTGGATGGCTCTGCTTCTGCATTGGAAATCCAACCTGGTCCGTGCCAGGGTGGCTCAGCACGGCCCCGACATGGTCCAGATGTGCCGGTGGAAAAGTGCTATTTGAGTAGTCGCCGCCATTTCAATCAGTCACAGCGGAGCCACTGTATACTCATGGTGATTAATCCCAAACCATAAACTTCTTCTGCTATAGCTCCCGGGCTTGTGTACAGGTCCTACCGCTTATTGGTGAGCATGATGTTGGTGGTTTCGCTCCACGTGCTAGAAGCGTTTTCGGACAGGGTGCCAAACCACCTGCGGTACAACCTGATAACCACATCAGAGACCTATATGGCACAACCATGGCAACCTAATTCGTTTTCTTCTTCTTCCTAGCACTTCCTCTACTCAGGTGCGTTCTGCCTTTGTGATCATTTTTCTCCACTTACTCCGGTACTGGGCCATCCCCTCGCTCACCCCAAAGTCATTTGTATCCGCTCCCCACTTGGAACCACTTCTCTGTAGGCCTGCCTCTCAGCCTCTGCCCTGGTGCTTCTATCTTCATCACTTTCCTTCTGATGCCATTCTCCAACGGCACGTCCCATAATTCTGAGTCGACTTTCAACTGCCTGGGGCTGGGCTAATAGATTGAATATTCATCTTCTAGTTTGAAAACTAATTTCTTTAGAACCCCTTTTTGTGTTCAGTTTGTTGTCGTTCCCCCGCACCTCCGATTAGCACGGTTGGCTATGTACGGTGCATAGGAAGTTCAACATACAGTTTAGGGATGGTGAAAGGTTATTTAGCAACGTGGCAAATGGTTAATACTAAGTACTGCCAGCAGAGGGCGGTTTAGCCCTGTGTCGTCTAAATGCTCACTTCATCTCAATAAGCTGGGCAGAAACAGTTGGGCATGTTTATTTTATATAGAGAGAGGAGAGGCAGTTGGGCATAAGCAGAGGAGAAGAGGAAGGTCTTAAGCTTGGACAGGGAGTCGACGGTGCGGATGGCTGGGGGGTGGGTTGGGATGGCAGTTCCAATAATCTCACTTTAGAGGTGACATTTTTTTCACTTTGGCTGTATGTGCGCTGCACACAAAAAAAAAAATTACGGGACAAGGCTGACTATTTCACTTTATCTCGCTCAATTAATAAACAGAATATACATCAACATGTATGTGGTTGAGATCAGTTCGTCAACCTAAAGTGCACACACATACTTGGACTTTATATCACCAGGTCAGAGTTCAGTGAGACAAAATTATCTCTGTCAAGAGGGAGAACTGGGGTCTTCTTCCATATGGCGTTTGGAAAAAGCAGCTGGTTACAAATTGTTTAATGTTGGAAGCCATTCCACAGCATCTGGGGCGGTAAGAGTGGAGTCTGCTTGTTCCACCAGAATGCAGCGTTTTGTATTGGGTCATTAATGATGCATTCACAGTTTGCTAAAGTCCTTGATCTTAAATTTATGGAGACCTATGGGTAATAAACGAAGACTTCACGGTGTCTGTCATATTTCCACTGTAGCAAAATCACAGCTATGGTGAGACCAAAACAAAATGTGTCTTAATACATGTTGGGCAATTATTTTTTTCATTTACTTTTAGCTGTATATGTCACAGATATAATTTACAAACATGCGGTGTTACGATAAATCAACAGACCCCCCCCCCCCCACCCGTCAAGCCACTCGGACACACCTATAACGTATTAGTATTACAAGGTCAATGAATGTGTGGGTGTCATCACAGTTGTTGCCACCGTACCACACCTCCCCATTGTTCGGCCCCCTCCTGCTAGATCCCATAGTTGTAGCAAAGTTGATACAACCGCTAAGGTCTGTTCTTACAGTATTACACTCTCTGACTTTGATAATCAATATCGTTATAATTTATTTGTATTTGGAAATGGGCTTCATACATCCCACATGTCTCAGTGCGTTTGGTCTTTTGGTTGCCGTAGTGGCCTGCATTATGAAGTGCAAAGTATTTGTATTGAATAAACCTTTTCAACCTGTGATAATTATTATTCTAGTTGCAGTAACTCTTGCACTGGGGCAGAGCAATGGTGCAGTGGTCTGCGTGCTGCGCTACACAGCAACGCCTTTAATCCATGAGGATAGCCTCACTTAGTCTTGAGACCGTTTTTTCAGGAAGGTCCTGCATTGCAATGTATGGTCGATTCCATTAATCAGTAGTACTGATTCCATTAATCAGTAGTTTTGCATCATTTGGCTTTGCTGTGCTGCGAACAATAAGACCACCACCCACATTTAAGCCTTGCGGTTGCCCCCTCTGGCTACGCAGGACAACCACAGTTGGCGACACCACCGCAGGGCCTGGTATGCACACGGGATTCTGCGGGAGATTTGTTTTTGATTGCAGACAAGATTTCATCGCCGTTGCATCGACGCTGTTTACAGCATGCGCCATAGACCGATATGTAGTGTTGTAGAGGGTTTGTGATATGGGGTCCGGCAGGGGTTGCAGGGGGAGCTTTGTGATTCGTGAACTCAAGTCACAGAGAGCCTACTGTGTATGGCTCTCTGATATGTATTTGGGCTGTACCTGGCGTTGTTAGGCATAACGTCGTTTTTTCTCCAAGCCGAATTACGTAAATGAAATATTGACTTGTGAAAAGCTTAGATAGAATACGTCGCTAGAAGGGTTGATGGCCAGTGGTCGAGACTTCTGATAGGAGTGGCAGCCAAGGGAGGGAACGCGTGACTGAGGACGTCCACCGCAGGAAAGTGGCAAAGAAATCGACTCGTGTGCACATGCAGCACGGATCGTTTCCATCGTGGGATTGTGATATATGGCGGTGGATTGGGGGAAGCCCTTCATCCACCAGTGGATTAATCAGGGCTGAATGGGAATCACACACCACACACGTCACGTGCTTATTTTTCAACCTTGCACCCACTCACCCGCCCCCTCGTTAAGTTAACGTTGTGGCTCCGCATCCACGCCGTAATTTCATTAGCGCGTAGTTTCTCGCAGAGCCGGTGATCGAACGCTCGCCCGTGGGAACCCGCTCGGACCCACGCCGTTCTCCGCGCAACATTTACTGCCGCGGCCTAATTGAAAACATACCTGTGTGTGCCTAACGTGCCCACTCCAGCTCCTGCGTTGCCCATTTGCGCAGCCCGTAGCTCGTTCACGGGCCGCTGCCCAGCGTCAACCTGCCCCGTCACATCCGAGCTTAATGAAAAAAATAAAAACCCCATAAGTGTTATTAAGGGGAGCCGACTAACATTTGACCCTCGCTTGTAAGTGCGCTTGTAAACTGGCCGTAATAACGTGGCGCAAAGCAGCGGGGGGGGGGGGGTGCCCCGGGGGCCTGAATGCTAATGAGCGGGAGGCCCTGGGGCATGTCGGACATGTCCAGTGAGCCGTGCGGTGGCTCGTTGGCTCACTCAGTCACTCACCTGCTCGCTCGCTCAACTCTCTCACTTTGTTTACGCGCTCACTGTTTTTACGCGCTAACGTTGTCTCGCTCACATATTTACTCACGCGTTGGATGAGTTTGCTTGCTCAGTAATGTGCTTGCGTGTTCACTCGCTCACTCTTCTCCTAACTCTTATGTTGACTCGCTTACTCCTATGAGTTACTCACTCGCTTACACACTTGCGTGCTCACTCAGTCACTCGTCTTTTCGATCGTTCAGTCGCATGGCTCATATATTCAACCCACGCGCTTATTAAGTGACTGTCTTAATGGCTCACTGACTCTCTCGATCGTTTTCTAACTTCTTCATTCACTCGCTCAATCATTCAATCAGTTTTCTCACTCATACTCGCCCAAACACACTCCATTGATTGCTCGCTTTCCCACTTGCTCATTAACTTTCTTACTCACTGACCCACTCACCCCCATAAATTAATTAACTTCCTCGGTCAGTCGCTCATCCACCCTCTCACTCGCTTATTCACTCACCCATCCTGTCACTCGCTGACTTATTTACTCACCCACCCACTTTGCTCACTCGCTTCCCCCCTAACCCTCATTCTAGCCTCACCCCGCCGTGTCCTCTCTGCCCTCAGGGTGGCATGACCGCCAGCCTACCACTACCTGTGCCAAGGAAATAGTTTTGCCATTTGTTTTTTTTGCATGCAGAAGAGATTGCCGCTGCCGCCGCCACTACCACCACCGCACCACGCCGGCAATGGTTGGGTGCGCGACTTGAAAGGACCGCTACACGCACGCACGCACTCACGCCGTGCTAGAACGGGAATGCAATGTGCAGTATTCGTTTGAAGGTTTAGATTTAACTGTAGCTATTTCATGGGTGGGTATCAAATAGGTATTTTGATAGGTAGGTGAAAGGTATTTTAGTCATTTGAGAATCTAGGCAGGTGGTCCTGCGGCAGGTCTCCTGTCTCGCATTTGCAAAGTCGTGTGTTCAAATTGCAGACGGAGGTCGAATCGGCCCGTCGTCGTCATCATCATCATCAAAGTGTGAAATTTATTTTGATTGACCAGGTTAGAATGAATCTGAAAGAGTGATCTGGGTCGCCCTGAATGCAAAAGCAAATTGAATCATGTAAAGTATGGCATTGAAGGAAATAGAAATTGGAGCAAAAAACACTTTTTCAAATCATCGCTTGAGCATCTAAAAAGTACTAGTTTTTCACAAGTCAACCATTGTTACC